ACTCTTAATAAACCTATTATTATTATATTATTTCATTATAATCTAGTTTTCCGTGAAATTGCTTTTTTAAGGTGGCTCGATATAGTTATTACAAAAATCCTACTCAAGAATCGCGAACTCAAAACCGGGTAACTATTTTTACGCGCAGGTCGCGGAAGCTGATTAATTAACAAAATGAAAGAACTTCCAAAATGACCTGACGTGAGCAGTTGCTCGCGCCATATCACGCCATTCCGCGTGTTCTATAGCGTTTTATGTCAATTGCTGACGTCATTAGAATTTTCCATTTTAGAAAAACAATGCGCTATATCTCTTTATTTTGTCTGGTGACCTATGTTCAAATTTTGCATGCTGTATTGCACCGCTAAAAACTTTTATTATACAAAAAATAAAAAAATTCTGTAATGCCAAAAAAATTTTACCGAAGAATATGACATTTTCCAAAAAAATGGCATTACAGAATTTTTTTATGTTTTGCTAATTGTTAGCTTTTCGTCCAAGTAAAATAATGCACGAAAAAAATTGGGGGTCACCATGCTTTTTTTCCAACTATACGAGACGATAGGCCATTTTGGAGTGAATTTTGTACACGTATGTCGTCATAGCAACGATCTATCTGTTACTAAAACTAATATAATTTGAAAGTAGAGTTATCAAAATATAAAAAAAACCCAATATCTGCTGAATAAATCCTAAAAATACGTAGTTTGAACATGTCAAAGTGTTAAACACCTGAATTTTTGAAAACTGTATCGAGCCACCTTAAGACATGTGAATCGTGAAACGGCTTTTTTTTTCGTTGTGAAACGTGATCCATTACCCCCCTTTCCCACCCTCCCTTCAGGTATTGACTCCCATCCAATATTTACTTTTGAGCAGTTAGCCTTACTTGCAGTGCCCAAGTCATTTCCCCCATAATACATTTAATTCAGAGCTCACTTGACAATACTTACCGCTTAACCTGAGTTCAAAACAAATTCTAAAACATGATTGCATTATCTCGCAAACTGATTCGTTCGTGAGATGAGCTCCAACCGGGGTCAGCAACAGCGTACGTAGAACTTGTAGGATCTTCATCAAAACAACTTCGTCACTACTAGGATCAGTGCCAACGAAACGTGCATGCGTTACAGCATCAGCCAGACTTTCAATACCAGATGGTGTGCTACTGGACGCCGGATCTATGGATGAATGATAGTCAATAAACAAAGAGAGTATACTAAGTTTTTTGATAGAGAAGTTTACAAGATCATTTTACCAATAAGTCCATAGCAAAGAAACTTGTTCACAGCTGACAAAGCATAACCAGTGATTGGTCCAGTTGTATCTTCAGATCTTATGACGTCAAGAAATGGTCCCAAAATAGCAATCACGTCTACCTCTTGCAGGTCTAAATAAAAGAACAAAAATGCTAGAACGTTGACCAGGGTCTGAAATTTAAATGTTTTCTCAGTATTCAAATTTCAAACAAGCAACGGGCCCATCCTGGGATTTTTTTGGCCTCCCTTGACTAGAAATCCTGGCTACGTCACTGATTTACAAGAAGGCAGAAAGAAACGATGTATGCGTTATAAATTTTTACCTGAAATACTGCCAAGAAGTTCTTTCAGCTGTGAAAAACTGTGCAGCAGAGGGTCTTGTTCTTCATCCTGTTTTCAAAATAATTCACCTTTGTCAACGCATTTCCATGTCTTAGCCAATAAAATGCATGCACTTTTTCTTGAATGGCCCATTTCCACACAAGAAAATTTTCCACAAACAAAAAATTTTCCAAAAATATCATTGTTAAAAATTGAAAATTTTCAACTTCAAATTTTTTTTCCGACGAAAAATTTGTGTCTGCCATCACATTTTATTGGTAGTTTTTTTCAGAATTCTTTACTGACTGATAGTTTCAGCAAATATAAAACAAAAAAGTATGCATTTCAAGGCATATATACTAGGTATATATACAGGCCTTAAAATATCGGTCGGTCACGGACATTGTCCGATCCATTCGTCAAATTGTCCGACGTAGAGAGGAAATCACCGGACATGCTGTCCGACCTAGTGAAACTGAGATTTATTGTTTGTCCGACCCGAGTGGTTTGGTGTCCGACCGAAATGTTGTTTTGTCCGACTCTTTCTCTATGCACGTAAATCAAAATGTACCCTAGTCCAGGACTAGAGGCTTGTATGTTATAATGGAGAATTAGAGTATTGTACAAAAATGAACGAACCGGAAGTGTTTTTAATAATGTCAACGAGCTCGAGGCGGCAAGCGAAATGGTGAAGTGGAAAACGGGCTTAGTCGAAGTCGTACTGCTATTATTGGCAAGCAAGTTAATCTTGGCTTGTAAGTAAGTATGAATGACACAAATTATTTAATATCTTCACAACATTTAGCTCAGAATTAAGACATTGTGCTGATATTAATTTGCGTCATTCAGACTTATCTCCGAGCCAAACTGAACTGAAGGTCATCGGACATCATCGTACATATGTCCAACCCAAACTCAAAGTCATCGGACATTTTGTCAGACGGCCCTGTAAAATATATTCTAAGGCCTGTATATACCAGGGCACTAGTATATATACATGAACTTGTGGTTGGAGCTGGACAGCTAGCCTCTATAGCTCAGTTGGTAAGGCCAAAAAAAATATGTGGGTTTCCGGTTTCTTCTTATAAAAACTTAGGTAGGGTAGGTCTGTTTTAACTTTTTTTTTAAACTTTTTTTTTTATTTTTCCGAACAACCGGTTATATTTTCATGTCACACAGTCACGAATTATAGTAGTCACCAGTCTCCTATATACGTAACAGTTCTATAGTTCTATGGTTCCGTAGTTATATGGTTCTATAATAATATAATTAAAAAAAAAAAAACTCTTTGCAAATCCAGGGTTCGAAACTTCGAATTAATTCTGAAAAAATGGTTTGTGAATTAATTTTTTTATTTTAAGTAAATTTTAAGGATTTTTCTCTAATTGGAAGTTAAAAAGTGGAAGCAATGCAATTTTCAAATATATAATATACATCGCGGTTTTCACTTGTTTCCAACCATCAAACTGACGTTGCGTCATTTGATCAATTTCTAAAGTTCTTTCTTTTTGGATTTTTTTCATTAATTTGGTTAGGGTTAGAGGTTAGAGTAGGGGTGGGGTTTGGGTTAGTTACATCGCCATTTAACACCTCTTCCATTTTCCGAAAATGCCGTCATGTCAGTTTGGTGGATGGAAACAAGTGCTGACCATACATCGGATACTCGCAAAGAAATAGAATTTTGGGTGGAATTATAATCGTTTTTAAGTACAATCTAACAACAATATCTTCAGAATATATGATCCTTCATCACATTTACAAAGAACTGAATCTATTATTGTATATTTTTATCAATTTGAGAGACTTTTGATTCGTGATTTTGATACAATTTCTATGAAATTGGGTTCGTAAAAAATGAAAATTGATTCGTGATTCACGAACCGTTATTTCGAACCCTGAAATCCTTGAGGGAATTTGCAATTTTCTTGTCGGCCGTTGCAATATTCCAACGCGCAAAGAAAGTTCCTTTCAAACTTCCTGTTTTAATTTCCTAACTTCCTGCTCTGTTCTGAGCGTTATCATTGGTGGATTATTTTTGTTAGCCAATTGCAACGCACAGAACAGAACAGGAAGTTAGGAACTTGTAACAGGAAGTTAAGAACTTCTAACAGGAACTGAGGAAAATTTATTTGGCTCTTACGAACATTGCAAATTCCCTCAAGGGATTTGCAAGGGAGTTTTTCAAATTTGCTGAGTTAATGACGAAAATTGCAATCAAGTTAGGAACTTAAATGAGGAACACTTCACGTAGTTAACCTGTAAAATGCATACTTTTTTCGAATTAACATATGTGCTGATAGTATTGTGCAAACAAGATTGTTGGTAGCATGCAAATCTGATGTTTATTGCATATTTACTGTCAAACTTTCAAAATATTGTGCATGCAATTTCGTAGCTAACCAGTCACGTAAATTTCAGGTCATCCATGTAGTATAAACCTATTTGACCTTGTCAAAATCTGGAATTCACTAGAATAATTTCAGTCCCAGATAACCCCTTTATATTTTTTATATTTAAAGTTAAATATCTTATTTACATATATGCAAGCACAAGTAATCCCACTGTCAATATACAATATTGGCGGCACAGCTAACGGCAAATCATTGATGCATCGCTAGTTTAATATTAAATTTAATTTAAAGAGTTGCAAAATTGATATTTATAAAGGTCTTTCATTGTTGCTATTTGGAAAATCCAACATTACTGCCAAAACTTGAACAAATTTCTTTAAAACAACAATATTTTATAATAGATAACCTACAGTATCTATTAAAATAACTAGACAGTAAAAATTTGTGCTTACTTGATGGCTATGCGAGGCCCAGCGAACGTTTCTTCGCATAGCCGATACGACCAGGGACATTTCACCTTGTACAATATTAACACCATTTCGGGGCTGTTCCTGAGCCATATTTTACGATTCACGGCTCTCAGGGCTTCTCTTTTAATTCCAGCATACAATCCTTGTCCAATATTAGCCTTTTTCTTGGCATATCTTTAAAATTTTCATGTTTTTTCCCCAAATTTTCTCTGCTAGAAATTGAAATTATTAAGAAATCTTCGCCAACTCTTCGCTGCTTACGTCATGTGTCGCCAGTGAGCATGCGCCGAAATGCGTGGCAGACATTTTTCCACGCGCGATTATTGCGTGGAATGTGAATTTTAATGATTTGTTTGTTTAATTTGTTTGTTTGTTGTTTACACAAGGTTTGCATGCAGTATTTGATCTGTTTTAATCCATCTGGTTGAACTTGGGCAACGAATAATAATGATATACCTGATTCTAAATTCGTCTGTCGTCCGAAAAGGCAACATACGAATAATCCATTCATGACAGAGATCTCACTCCAGTAACAAATATCAAGCTCATTGCCTAAAAACCGCCATTATTTTTTTCGCGATTTTTCTAAACAGCCAAATTTTCCAGCAATTTTTGGCGAATGCTTCGGCGAAAATTTTTTTAAAAATGGCGAACTAAACTGACAAAGATAAATTTTAAAAAAAATCTTTAAAGCAAAGAAAAATGCTTTTAAATGGCATAGCAATGCCCGAAGGCTACAGTGTTTACGGTCACCAAGTCGCTGGGCATCGATTTGAAACAGGAAAGCAAGGTTAAATATTATTTTTAGCTGGAACATTTTATATGTATATGCAAATGATGAATGATTATTTATATGAATTGTAGTTTTTGTCGAGTAATTTTTGTTTACAGACATGTTGGGGGCAATATATATTGAGTATTTGTCAGCCACAATATTTCAGTAATTTGTTAAAATTCTGTAAGGTTGATTCATCGCACACTGATTGCAGTCATTGATGATGATGATCATGATTAATTATTGTCATATTCACATTATCATTGAGTATCATCATCAAAATCATTGATCACAATTATTGGTCATCATAATTGATTATCATAATCATTATTATTGATCACCATCGTCAATGAATGTTATGACTACCATTGTCATCAAAGATTAATTACATTAGATCATAGTGATGATTGTATTGATTGATTATCATTGATCACCATCTTCAATGATCATCATTCACTATCATAATGATTGATCACATTTGATCATAGTAATGATTGATTATCGCTATTATTGATTACCATAATGATCACCATGACATTTATCACATCTTTAACTCATATTATCATTTATCACCATCCTCATTATTGATTGCCATGCTCATTATTATTGATCACCTTGATCATTTTCACTCAGCATTATCATTGCCAATCATCATTAAAATATTGATAGCCATTATCATCATACATAATCACAAACCTTATTCCTCTAATTCTAGGCATGCTGTTAGACAGTGATGGTAAATTACTCAAACCAATCCAAGCACCACCCAGAGGCGAAAGAGAGGTGGAGTTTTATCAGTCTCTCTTTGAATGCAAAACTTCTGATCAAACAACTTTAAAACTTTGTCAATTTGTTCCAGCATTTTATGGTGTGAAACATGTTGTTTCCCCAGATTTATCATTGAAAGATATCCTTGATCATATGCGACTTACGGCTGGTTTACAATCTCAACATTTCTTTGGTCAAAACATAGTTAATAGAAAACAGTGTTCTCTATTAACTATGGTCAAAATATTAAAACCAGTATTTACTATAGGTCTAAAACTTTATGATAGATCAAAATAGTAGTATCACACACACCTTTACTAATTAGTCAACACTAATGGAGTCGGCACTCGGGGTTTGTGGTATATTTCTAGTATCCTGATGATACCAATCAACTTTTCTTACTTTGAGACAGGTTTTCAGTTTTGATTCCAGTTTGAGAAATGCTGGTATCCAAAATGGATTCCAGAAAAAATTCTAATCTCAAGCAAAGTGAGCAGCTCCAGCCACACATGGGGATTGAAACCAATAAAACAGGCAGTGGAAATCATCTGAAGTTAGACAGAGTAAAATAATAAAGCAGTCAACTTAATGGTAAAAATTGTGTACGTCCTTAACACTTTCAACTAGATAATTACATTATTCTTGAAAATCTTACAAGACATTTTAAGAAGCCTTGCATACTTGACATCAAAATTGGCAAAAGTATCACAGACCACTTAGCGACCCAGGCTAAGCGAGAAAGAGCAGCGAGAAAATATCCAGAACAAGAACAGTTTGGTTTTAGAATACTTGGCATGAAAGTTTACAATAAGTCAAGCAAGCATTTTAAATTCTACGACAAGACATTTGGAAAGAACTTGAAGACGCACAAGGAGGTTTTAACAGGTAATTATGACCTGATTTGTGTCAAAGCCGAGGTGTGTACTGGTTTTCCTTTGACAAAGTAAAATATTGTGGCTTCGTAAGCAAAGTAAAAATTTGGGTGGCCAAGTGGTTAGCGCACTTGCCTTTCACCTCTCAGGCCGCAGGTTGAAGCCTCAGTGAGTACTTTCTCAATGCGACTTGAACCCAGTCCTCATGTGAAAAGAGTAAAAGTCAACGCTCTGTCGAAAGTTGTGGGTTTTCCCTGGGTACTCCGGTTTCCTCCCACAGGGAAAGTGGACAGGGTGGGTTAGGTAAAAGGGCCCACAGTAATTGGCACATGCTGTTGTGGTGACCCTGCCCTAGTTAGCAAAGCTAAATAAATAAATAACACTTGTAATTAAGTAGGAATAGTGGGTTAAGATGTACCATTTTTCATATCTACCTTTTAGGCCTTAAAGAATTCTTCTGCTCAGCTGAGCATGGAAAAGGGCATATTGAAGAAATTCTAGAAAATTTGGAAGCAATCAAAATTTGGGCTGTTGAGCAAAGAATATTTAGACTTTACTCTAGTTCAATTCTTATTATATACGAAGGCGATGAAACACTTAAAACCAACGGTTTGGTGAAAGAAAATTCCAACAGTGATCTTAATGCAAACGATGATACCTCTGGAGATAATGAAATGGACAGTATGGTAGAAGACACGGAGAATGCCTTTCAATTTCAAGCAAGCGATAATTCCTGTAAAATACAAGCACAATTATGCACAGAAACTTTAGTGGCTCAAAACGAGTGTTCAAACTGTGTGACAGATTCTTTGGTAAAATGTTGGAACAAGCGTGATTGCTACCTGGAAAATAATATACAACCTCAAAAACCAAAAGTTAACATACGTTTAGTAGACTTTGCTCATACCTACATTGGACATTATGATGCACCAGATGATAATTATCTATATGGCTTGAATAATCTAATTTGTTACTTTGAACAACTCATTAGATAGCAGTCTTAAGTATTTTTTAAATGCTTAATAGTTTAAATGCTTAATAGATAGTTGTGTTTGATTCTGATTGTATATATATATTTATTATAGAATCTATCTTGACTCGTTTATTTCTTGACAATATTTATTTAGTTTAGGTCTCCACCTGTAGTAATACTGGAATAAAAAAGAGATGATTCCTACTGGACCTCTAGGAAGAACAGTTTATAACTGGATAGGGCTATCCAGCAATAAAGTTAGTTTAGGTTCTCTCCTGTAGTAACACTAGATCAATAAGAGATGGCTCTGCATGGATGAACCTCTAGGCAAGAAAAGTTTAGAACCGATAAAGTTTAGGTTTCCTTCTGTAGTAACACTAGACCGGATAATGGCTGCACCTTCCTAAATCAAACTGGATACAACAAATATATTGTGGTGTTGGTGACAGGTTTGCATTTTCTGGTTATCAGTGGGATAAAGGATAAACATTATCTGAATAGAAATTTATCAACAGTGGTCACCAAAATCACTGCCACAAGGCTCATTACTAGTATTTAATTATTTAAATAAAAGGCTCTATAGCTCATTAGAAGAGGTTTGAATATGCAGGCAGTATTCTTTCCGCCCGCGAATACCGCCTGTTACACAGGCCAAGGTTTGAAGATGCATAGGAGAAGACACTTGCATGATAATTTAACTAATTTAAACATGTTGCAATCCAATTTGCAGAGATTTTGACACACTCTAAATTATCATCTCATAAATACTCAAAATTGGCTGGCAGTTTTCAGATCAATGATCCATCTTGCTGCATATTACCAGCAGGCAAAAACAAAACAAATGGTTTTTAAACAAAGAAATTTATTAGCAGAAGGAAAACAGAATTACAGATTAAAGTGCATATAACAAAACAAAAATATAGCATCCTAATGTCTATTATTGCTTCAAGCAATGAATTTTATTAGCATCAAGAAAAACAATTATAGATTATAGTGCATAATAAATGAAAAATAAAAAACATCCTAACAATGTTTATTAAAGTTCTCCACAATCAGCAATCACAACAGGTTTTGATGTTTTTCCACTATCGCTACCAACCTTCTCGATTTCCTTAACAACTTCTTTAAAACCTTCGACAATGCTCCCAAAGACAACATGCTTATTATCAAGCCATGCAGTCTTGGCAGTGCAAATAAAGAATTGCGAGCCATTCGTATGTTTACCGCAATTTGCCATAGACAGGATTCCTTAAAATAGAATTTAGCATGTTTAGCAAAGACATGTTTCATTCATGGTTTGATTTACTGGACTGGGGGTTAACCCCCTAGAATCTCTCTAACCCCTCTTATGAAGTGTTCAACCCCACCAAAATTTTGCTTCACCCCTCCTATTTGTTTGAAAGTATTTAACCCTAACACCCAACCCCTGCCAAAGCTCGCTCAGTGGTGCCGCTTGCACCACACTAGAAATTTCTCCACCTCTCCTTTTAAGAAAATGAAAATCCGCCATTGCATGGTTTCATGCATGAATTATGACTGGCCAGATTTGTATGATGCAAGTCATATAGACCGGCCCGGCCAGTGTGGATTATAACGTTTTTGCTTAGGTCTGACAAATGTCCAATCAACAAGGCTGTTGCTCGGACATTGAAAAAGAATGGTCGGCCAACTATTTCAACCATTTTTACGAAAAAATAAAACATCTTTTTGTAAGTAGTGAGTATTGGAAACGCTATAGACTTACTATTGAGATTCTGTCACTTGAGAGAGTATTTGCTAAAAGAGAAGGTCGATGACAATGTTTCCTCTGAATGCTTTTTTCATCCAAATATCTATTGATTGCATGGTACACCACTAGGTATAGTATGCTTTTCAAACCATACTTTTTACATAAGCTACTTTCAATTAAAATGAACATTGTCTATTTTATTTGATCAGTCAAAATGTCCGTGCAGAATGAAATTGATCGGCCATTCAGTGTTTTTGTTTGGCAAATAGCAGACTGCCGACCATTATAATCCACACTGGGCCCGGCAACATTTTGGGTCTGCTGAATGAGATTGATTTGTGAGATGTTGTGCACAAAACAAAATCTATGTACACAATTTAGTTGCTTGTCACAGAAAAAATGCAGAAAGAACAGACTTAGCTAATGATTTTATTATTATTATTATTCAGCTCACTCCCCATTGGGGCTTTTCAGTGACTGATGACATCAAATATTACACTTACTTATGTTACTTACTTAGCTTAGACTATTTATCTTTACAACAATTGTGGTTACTTTCTTAACTGTGTTTATCCCAACCCACCCTGTCAACTTTCCCTGTGGGAGGAAACCGGAGCACCGGGAGAAAACCCGTGACTTTTGGCAAAGCGTTGACACTCTTTTCACACAAGTCCGAGGCTAGAATCGAACCCTCAATCGATCTCCAAGGTGAAAGGAGACACTCTGACAACTGCGCCACAGAACCCTGAATGAAAATTTCATCAT